TGTTTCAACGGACCATATACCCTCTACCCTGTCAAAAAGAAATTACTTTTGTCCAAATAGGCTAAAACTCAGTAATTGAAGTTTTTTACGGATTCTACCAACTGTGGCAGAACATTGTCAATATAGGTCCACGTTTTAGCCGCCATATAACGGTACATTCCCATATTCGGTTTTTCTATCCGAACATTACTAATATAGAGGGTGAGATGAAAAAACTGCAACCAACTTCAGACTGCTGTCATTTCTAAGCCACTCGTCCGATTATATTGTATACCAGCATGCAAAAGCGTTTTCGAGAGAATTTTCCATATGGCTGAGGGTATAAAAAGTTATTCGTGATGGAATTCAAGCGTGATAGTGTGATTTCTTTATATTTGGCTGGAAAACCACAAGTGGCTATTGCTAGAGCACTGCAGCATTTAAATCTTTTGTGTCGCATACCATTGCTCGTTGGTAGCGTAGCTCGACGTTAAGGAAGTGGACGGAAGAAAATAGCAACATCAGCAGAAATGGTTCGAAAAGTAACGAAGCGACTTGATCGAAACCCGCATCACAGTGGCCGAAAAATGGCTCGTGAGCTGAATATATCGCAACATTCCATTCGGCAAATATAAAAAAATGAGCTCGGGATAAAGCCATTAAAATTCCAAAAAGTGCAAGAACTTACACCGCAACAGAAAGAAAATAGACTCAAAAGAGCTAAAGAGTTGCTTCGCTTGGCCGAAAGTGGTGAACTGCCGAATTTGGAATTCTGCGATGAGGGAAAATTCGTTGTCAGGCAGTTTGTAAACAAACAAAATTATCGTGTTTACTTGCCAAAGTGATCAGCTGAAAATGTGCACCTTCGGTTGGCCGCCAGAACTCAAGCGCCGGCCATGGCGATGGTGTGGGCCGCCATAACAGTCGATGGTCGCTCTCCGTTCGTATGAACCGGTCGTGGCATCAGAATAAATGGCGAATATTAATATTCTGGAGAGTGTATTAAAGCAGACTTTGGACATTCCAACAGGGATGGTTACAAAATGAGGCTTCCGCTTCATTCATAGCGCACAATGGCCACCAAAATCCCCGGACTATTGTGTCTGGAGTATTTTGGAAAGCAAAGTTGGCACTAAAAAATATCAAAGTGTCGATCATTTCAAGCAAGCGCTTCGCCGGGAATGGACCAAAATACCGCAGAGCAACATTCGGGCAGCGTGTGACGGTTTTATTGGCCGTTTGAAGGCCATATTTCGTGCCAAAGGTGACCAATTCAAACAAATCTTAACTTATTTTAAAATTTGATGCTATTTCCGACATTTTTTGCTTTCATTCAATAAAATTAAAAAAAAAAATCAAATTATGGCGTTTGACTTTGTTGCAGTTTTTTTATCTCACCCTCTACATGTTATCCAATAGCCCCCATATAACAATATTTCTCGACATGTGGCATAACAAACTATTCTGACTAGTTCAGAGAAATGTTCAGTCCTGCTGAACTTAACTTTCACATTCCACAACGTAAATATGCAATTATTGTTGATTTGGAGGTGCGGGTTAATATGACCCATCGATCTCGATGTTATTTTTTTATACCCTCAGCCATATGGCTAAACAGGGCATCATTTGATACCGCCAAAACGTGGCTCATTGAAATAACGGCTTTAGACCCTAGATACTTTATCTAATGTATAGATGGAATATGTCGACCACTCCTTCTGGTACTTGCCCTAAAAAGTGGTCAAAATTTCGAATAGGAAAACGATCATTAAATGCAAAGTAGGCATCCGATTCTCCTCAAATTTCACATATCCCAATGTTTTTTAGTAAAACAGGATCTGGATTAAAGATAAAAGATAATGGCCCACACCACCTGGTACCTTCCCCACAACGGGCCACAATTTTCAATACTTAAATCTCTCCAACATGCGAAACAAGTCAGCGATTTTTTTTAAATATGGTTTATCTAAATATTTCTCCCAAACAGAGATGAGGAAATTATCGGTCCACTGCTTCTGATACCTCCCCTACAAAAGCTTAAAATTTTGATTAAAACTATTCGCATAAAATTGAAAATAAATGTTCGAATATCATTAAATATTGCAGATCCCAATATTTTTTATCAATATTAGGATTGGATTACTTTTATCCAGTATCCCTAGTACCTCACGCGCATTTCAGCATTGTAAAAAATCATCAAATATGTCACATAAAGTGAAGGAGTAGTATTGACCAAATCCTGTGTGTTGTAATATTTATATCAGACCTATGTCAGGTATGAAAAGGGGCAATATTGGTTAACTACTTTGGAAGCTTTACCATAAAGGGTCAACTGTTTGAAATATTATAATGCAAGTCAAAATATATTTTCATAAACGCACATAGGACGAGGATATACATCTGTCGACAATACCGATTGTTACGTTTCAACTTGTTTCTATTGAGATTTGCCAAGTTTGAAGAAAATCCAGTACACCTTGTTTGTTATCTCTCTCACCAGTCAAACAGACGGACAAACGTACTATATTCTAATTTCACTCCTACGAACACTCCTCGATCCTATAGATCGTTGGACTACTTTGTGCTTATTCATCACCTTTCCTCGATTTTCTATAATATTTAGTGGACCATAAGAACTCTCGTGGCAACCTTATGCTATTGTAGTAATCAATTTAAGATTTTTTTTATTAAAGAATTTCTTGCTTCATTGTTCCGCATACTCACCCAAAACCGTTAAAATTTTGTTCAACATCATTTGGCATTCCCACAACAAATGTTCGATCGTTTATCCTCCTTTTTTCTTCCTCAGAGAACCTATAGAAAAGCTCTTCTATATGGTGCTACCTTAGGATCTTGCGTGTTTCTTGAGTGCCAGCCTCATATTTCAATCGAATTTCTTGCAATGTTCGCGTTGGCTTCTTGCGAATATGAATATTCCATTGCAAAATATAGATAAAATGGATCATATTTTCTGATTATTAACGTTTCATGTTTGGCGTTGTACCGGCTGATGAAATGATGAATTTTAGTCATCAAATATCTTTCAAAAAATTTTTTTAAGAATGATTAAATTGACTTTTTTTATAATTTGATTAGGAAATGTCAATTGGATTCTTTTTTTTTATATTTTACGACGTTACCTAAAATATGACGCAGCGTACAAAAAAATTAACTTCCCCGCTATAGGTCAGGTGAGACAATGGACAATATCGGCCCACTCCATCTACTACATCCCCCCAAAATGGTCAACTGTTATAAAATGTGATGCAAGATTCCGATTGTCTTTACATTACACAAAACACGATATTTTTATTGGCCGAAAGTCTGGTCTCCTTCTGGTACCCCCACAAAGGTTCAAAATTTTGAATATTCATTAAGCTCATAAAACGCGAAATTAACATCCGATTCGATTCAGACTTGGTGCATCTACATATTTCTATCAACACAAGATCTGTTATAAAGATGGTAGAGATCGGACCATTTATTCTGGTACTCCCCCACATAGGGTTCATAATTAAAAAAAAAACGCTCAGAGAAAACGAAAAAAGCATCCATCTCTTCAAATAACAAACATACAAACATTTTTGCTAACACAAGATTTGTTGTGAAGATAATGTATATCGGCGAACCCCTTCTGGTATCTCACCCACAAAGGGTCAAAATTTTCAATACCTTTTACTGTCATTGCTTGCCAAACAAGTCAGCGATTCTTTACAAGTTTTTATATCTAAATATTTCTCTTAACTAAAAACCTGAGATGAAGATGTAATTTATGATTTCGCATAAATTGGATACAAATGTTCGATTTTCCTGTAATTTTGCCCATACCAATATTTTTATCTGTATTTTATGAAGTATGAAAATGAAATGAATTAAGCACATTTTAACATTTTCTGAAAAATGATCACATATCTCATATGAAGTAAGAGAGTAACCAATACAGTCCAAACCTGGCACATCGCAATATTTATATCATATTTATTTAAGTCCGATACCAAATGGACAATATTGGTCCACTCCTTTGGAACCTTCCCCATAAAGAGTTCAACTGTTTGGATAATCATAATACAAGTCAAAATATATTTAAATAATCGATCATTTCTTGAGGTTATACATCTGTCGGTAAAGCCGACTGATACTGTTTAACTTGTTTCAATTATAATATATACAAAAAGGCGGTGGAACAGTTTCGTTAAACTACAGAAGTGCTGGATAATATTACATTGAACTAATTTTACCCCGCTCATATATTTTTTCCAAAACGTAAAATTACAAATCATTATTGCTCTCCTACGCTTTTTGTTAACTCCACCTAAAATTGCACATTTAACACGAATGTAGTCCCGATAGAGGGACTCAGACGAATATTTCGAGGTGTTGTAAACAGAATGGCAATGTCAGTACAACTTCCATGGAGAGGAATATAAAAATATTTGATCATAACAAGTCGGGGAATCGTTATTTGTTTAATCCTTTTACAGCATCTGTACGATTGTATAAAGACAGGTCAAATACTTTGATTTTTCACAGAAAAATATTTCACATGTCGTGTCATGTGCCTATCTACCTACCATAACTTTCGATTTTTGCCAGAGGAATTGACTTGGGCTGATGTCCTTTTTAACAGTTACCTGTCTTTGCTGAGAGAGGTGGAGAGTGAGAACTAATAATGAGAGAATATCGTACGTAGAGAGAATAATAAATTCTGAGTATTAGGGAGGAGAGAGAGAGGCGAGAAATTGTAAGGGGGAGAGAATGGGTGACAGAGGGTAGTGAGAGAAAACAGAGGGAGAGAGAGTTTGTAAACCAAGTGAGCCGACGCACATGCTGTTGTTATTGATGCACACAAGTTAGTCCTTTCTCGTTGGTACGGGCGTACATATCCAAGTAAATAGACTTAAAAGAGAAAAATATTATTTACATTTTTTCGGGTACGCAGTTTCCGTTAATTTGAATTTTCTCGTGTCTATAATTTAGAGCTTGAATTCGGTTTTCTAAAAATTTGTGTTTTTTCTTTGCAGATACCAACACAAAATCTATTTATTTCAATGGAATACGAACATTGAACAAAAGTTTTAACTAAGCCAAAATAAACAACTAAGTACATTCAATTTTAATAAATAATATCCAAAAAAATATAAAACAAAACAAGAAGCAAAACCAGTGCATACATTATTTGAAGCAATAAATATTATTAATCAACAACATAAACCAACCAACAAAACATGCAAATGCCACACCATTAATACAAAAAAATTAAAAACAAATTACAAAAAATCAAATACAAATTTACACCCAAAGGCAAAAAAAGAAAACAAAAAAAAAAAACAATTGTTTATCTAAACAAAATTTACCTAAATAATATTATATATGCAAACTATATATACTTCTATAGCTAAAATAAAATATATATTTTTATAAAACAAAACAAAGTGGAGAGCTGAAATTCAACAAACAAAAATAATTACTAAAAACAAAAGTACAAAATACCAATTCAAACAAACCAACAAAAAACAAATAATATTTAGCAAAGCAATAGTTAAAACAAAATAGAATTTTTTAAAAATTTAAATATGCAGCATTACAAAAAATAACAAAGTCTGATTAATAATATTAAAAAAAAAACAAGTTTTGAAATGCAAATTTGAAACATACAAATTTTTTGAAAATATAATAATAATAAAATTAATAACAATATATCAAATTAAATAACCAACAAATTTTATGCAATATCCCAAATATAAAAATATTATTGACAACAAAAAAACAACATTGTAAGCAGTTAAAAGTACAAAACAACAAATGTTCTTCATTTTTTACAATTATTATAAAACGTATTTAATAACAACAACAAAATATTGAAATTAAGCCAATATAGTCTGCACAAAATACAAATTTCTCTCCAAATCATTATTCAATTAAATATTTAATCAGCCAGAGCGTTACAAATATTAGTAATAATTAACATTTCTTCGCGTAATATAACAACAAAAACCAACAAATGTAAACGAAATACGTACAACAACAACAACAATTATTAACAAATTAGACTTGTAGTGTTTAAATACTTAAATCCATGAAAATATAAGTGACAAAAAAGAAGAAATTTTGTTGCCAAATTCATTGCCCCTCCTGACCCCAAAAAAGAGGACCCAGTGATTTTGTACAACAGCAACAAATGCAAAAGCAGAAAATATATTGAACAAAAACCAACAAAGAAACATTTTTTGAAAAACTACCTCAAAAGTGTAAAAACAAGTGTACAAATATTTTACAAAGCAAAACAAAACAGTTTAAAAGAAACGAAAACAGAGTAATTACAAATTTTTGCAACCTTTACCCCATAACAAAAAAAAAAAAACAAATAAAACAAAACAAAACTAAAGCACAAAAGTTAAGGTACAAATTTCATACAGATTCAAATTAACAAAACAAAATCAGCAACAACATTTCTTTGATACAAATTTTATTTTGCAAAGCCAAACAAAATCCGTACTCAAGTGTTTAACGAAGGATACACTCACACACCCACATACCGAAACACCTATACACTTAACATTGAGCTACAAGTTTTACAAAAAAAAAGAAAAACGAAAAACGAGAGCAACATATTTTGTTGAACTCTCCTGACCGTATACAAAATATTTCACTTGCTCACTGATCCTGTCAAGGCACTGCAGAAACGGCCATGCAACAGGATACATTTAAATGGCGTCTACAGTAGTGGCACAAACCAGCGGCGGTCCACAAGAAACGTCTGCACACTCTCTGCACCATCACAGCCAACAACAGCATCAGCAGCAGCCACACTCGGCCACCAGCAGTCAACACCACCAACAGCAACATCACCATTTGTCGTCTTCTTCGTCGCCAGCAGCATCCACGCTCGCGAATTCGCATTTGCACAACTCACACTTGCAGCATTTGAGTAGTCTGAGTCATCATCATACGGCTCACGCCTATCAGACGCCCACGACCACAGCCTTTGTGCCCCCACATCATCAGCAATATCAGCATTATCCGGCGGCTACGCAGCAGCAGCATTCCCAGTCGCTGTACCACCAACACCAGTATCACCCACAACAGGGACAGCAGCAGCACTGGGACTATTATGCTAGGCAACCGCCACCCAGTCAACAACAACAACAACAGCAACAACAAACGACCAGTGAAAGAACCACAAATCAGCAACAACAACCATTACAGTCTTCTACACCCACAAGTACCACGAACAACAACAATGTCCCAACATCAAGTTCTCAAACAACAAATGGTACAACAGGTGATAACAACAATACAAGCAACGGCAACAACCACAACAACACTACAAATACAGCCAGCAATAATAACAACAATACCAATGATTCTGTAAGCTCTCAGACCAACGGATCAAACAACTATACCAGACCTTGGGAAATGGAGTCCAAAGATTCGAACTCCAACTCCAATTCCAATCCGGCAGCTGCGCAACAACCAAAGAGTGGCTTTGAGCCATTTTCCAAATTGCCCTCCTTTTCCAGCCAGTTTTATGGCTTCAATGAACTGATGGCCGACGGTACCCCAATACCGCCGCCGCCCAATTCAGCCTCAGCAGCAGCAGCGGCGGCTGCAGCTGCAACGGGGCCAACCAATCCCTCACTGAACTCCCTGCAAACGGTGGCCATGTCACCGGCCAGCATATCAGTGAGCTCGCCGGGCATGGTGAGTGTGGGCTCACCTCTGACACAATTGGCTAGTCTGCAAACGAGCATAACACCGCCCTCGAGTGGTTTTGCACCTTTGGGGGCACCACCACCGCCCAATGCTTTTCATCCGCACCACAGAGCCGCTCCATATCCCTTGGTGCCGGCAGCATTGCCACCCAGTGCCAGCGGCTATACAGATCCATTGTTATATCAGCCATTGACACCGTCGTATGCTCCTCCAACGCCCAATTCCTTGGTGCCGCCCTCTTTGCAGTCCTCATCATCGTCGTCCACCAGCAACAGCACCACATTGGGAGGTGTTAAGAAGGATAATTCGCTGTCGGCGTTCGATCTCAATACCAATTCAAACGGCTCACTGTTGAGTGTGCCCACTTCAAATACACCAAATACCCTGGGCACGCCCATGGGCATGCACACGCCCACACCGTCATACGATGGTGCCAGCAGCTCTTCAATGATGGATATATCTAATCATGGAGTGGGTGGCGGTGGTCCAGCAACCGCCGGCTACCACACGCCGCATTCCACACACACCAGTACTGGATCTCATACTCCGCACACAACACAGCCCCACACCCCTACGCCCTCCACCACCACGCCCATTAAAACGGATAAAGTTCTGAATTCACCCGTGGCCAGAGTGGATGCGCGTAAAAAAGAACGACGGAAAAATCGGGCGAATTCGCTGGAGTCCAGTGCCGAATCCGAGGCCAGTGCCATGGATGTGGACCCCAGCAATCCCGGCCAAGTTGATGCTGTCTCGAGTACGGCGAACTTTAAGAGTCCCATTGGTTGTATGGGCGTCAGTGATAGCAATGATGGAGCCGGTGAAAAGCAAGTAAGTTTGAGTGCTGAGTTTTTAAGAAAGTTTTCCAGGGAGTGGAGGAAATGTCAAAGCTGAAATATTTTGAGTTTTGAATTGAATTTATTTTTATTGAATTAGTTTTTGTCACATTCCTTTTCCTTTCCCATCAAAAAAAAATTCAAAGAAAAATATTTTTGAAAATTTTTAATCGGCTTCAAGTCATTTCCTCCACCTCCACACGGAGGATGGCATCAATCAAATGGCCAACGATCATAACCCGATCAACATTCTTATAGATGTCTTCTAACATTTTCCAGTCGAAAAAGAAACGCAAACGCTGTGGCGAGTGCATCGGATGCCAGCGTAAGGATAATTGCGGCGATTGTGCGCCATGTCGCAACGACAAAAGCCATCAAATCTGCAAGCAGCGACGCTGCGAGAAACTCACCGAGAAAAAGGTAAGTGGCAAAATCCATAAATTCATTCATGAAAAAGTATTCGTTTTCGATTTTTTATTTTTGTTGGCTGTGTCCAAATGGCCAAAATAATGAGGCAAATCAACCTGTCCGCCAGACAGCAACAAAACCCGTTTGATGGGCTCGGCTAGCCGGTGAACATTTTGTTGCCTTTGTTTCGTCCGTTTCCCATACTGCGGGGAGCAAGAACCCTTGGCCGGTCGGTTGCTTCCATTGGCCGTCATGTAGTGTGAGATTTTTTCTTTTGCCTTTGCTGTTGTTATTGGTGTTGTTGTACACTTAAGGATTTATGTCAATTTCATGTGAATGTGCGTACGAAAACGCGTTTTGCGAGTATTTGATACGAATGAATGACTGGCTGACTGCCTGACTGGTTGGTTGCTGCCCTGCTTCAGCATTTTTTGCGCTTTTTTGTTCCAGTGGTCATGCCAAACAAACAACAGATGTTTTTCGTATTTTGCTTGTCCGTCCGTGCGTCCATGCCTCCCTCTGTCCGCCGGTCCATGTATCTGGTCATCATCTTTTAAAGATTGCTTATTTTATTGTCGCTCTTTGTTTTATATTTCGCATTCGCTTTGGCATCGCTGATTTAATTGATGTCTCTACGGTTCGGATGCTCATTTTTTTCTGGTGATTTTCTTGGCGAGGAGATCTGTCAGCTATGCCGTCCGGTGTGTTCGTTTTTTTTATTTCTTTCCTTTACAGATTCCTTTGCACCAGCCAAAGGAAGAACAAATGAACATGTGTTGCATGTTTGGCGTACACATGCTTTTATTACATTAAACACGTTTTAGCCCGTTGAATAACCTAAATAATGTCTGTGTAAATTACAGCAGACTCCCCTCCCCCTCTCTCCCAACCTTCCTTCGTTCGTACCTATCAGCCCCATAAAATGACAGAAGAGGAGTAGGAAGAAAATAAAAACGTTACGAAAAAAGTACAGCTGATGCTATGCAATTAGTAGCTGGAGTCTTTTTTCTTTTGGTCTGAGAAAAACTAAAACAACAACAACAGCAGCACCACCAAACAAACCCTTTCGTGTACTTGCATGCAGCATCCTTTGGCTAAATCTTTAAATTGCATTTAGCAAAAGATGCAACAACCAAAAAAAAAAAACACAGACTATAAGCTGCGAACAGTTGCATGGTGGTACTTTTTACGGCGATACAGTGGGCTAATAAATTGAAGCGGTTTACAAAATGTTGGAACAAAATTTCGAGTTTCCTCGCTAAAGAGATTTTTTCAAAAAAAAAAAAATTATTTATTATCCGTCCTGTGGCAATTTTTATAACCTATACCATAGTTAGAGCGTATATTAAGTTCGTCATTCAATGGTACCTCCCGATGTTCAATATTTTGATTATTTCAGCCACATTTTTCAATGGAATAGTCTGGAAATCCACACAAGGAGTTCTCTCTGAGTACTTTACCCCTGAATTGTCTATATAGGTCTACGTTTTAGTATAGCAATCATATAACGCTACCCCGAGATATTCGGTATTTCTAGGATTTTCGCAACATTATTCAAATTTCGTATTTGAAGTTCGTAACGGATACTACAACCTATGGATGGATATAATGTCTATGCACGTCCACCTCTTAGTATAGTATTTTGATTATATTAGAGACATTATTCATCGGAATTGTTTCAAATTTCGCATTTGAAGTTCGGAAACGGTAGCCTATGACAGAAAATTATTTATCCAACACTACGTCTTCGTATAGCCCCGCATATAATGGTTTTTATTTAAGTGGTATTTTTCGACGGATCTTTTTTTATTTTACTATTGTGTTTTATTTAATTACTTTTTTTTTAAATATTTCAAGTTATTTCCGAGTGGTCGAGGGTAAAAAAAGTTCGGCCAAACTTGGCTGCTTTTTTACTTGTTTTTCCTTTCATATATTAAACTTGAAAATTAGATTTGAGCCACTTGACCTAGTGTCGCATTCCTGGTCTTACTTAACTACGCTATGATATCAAATTTTAGAGGGTTGCCTATGTTCTGCACCAATAACCTAATTTTAGATACATGAACACTTTTTATTAGAGCACGGCTGTTATGGAAAAAATGTACAAACACCACATTATGTTTACCTGCACTCTTATTAGCTGCATTTTTGTCTTTGTTGCCTTTAAACCATTTTTTGGCTACTCTCCTTTGGTTAATTTATAATTTTAAGTGCGCAAACTGTAACAATAGTCCAAATTTGCTTTTAACTTCGTTGCAGAATTTGAATTTAGCCACAAAAACCCATACAAAATCATGATTATTCTAGTTTATTTATCCCACAAGGGTAATTTAAATTGATCTGTTTGCAGAACATAGAAATAGTCCTCAGGGTCCCATATAGAAGAAATATTGGTGATAAGCATAAAATTCTACATCGATTTAACAATGGCCGTCCGTCTGTTAAAATCAAGAAAAAATAACATGGACGTTGGTAGTCTCCCTAAGATGTCTGGTATTAAAAATGAGCTATATCGATCCACAATTTGGAATATCGCCATTTAACTGTGCCTCATAATTTTCCACATTTCCAAGGTGTTGGTTCCAATTTACAACCCATTTAAATATTATTTAAAATATTCGGACAGTCTTAAAGAAGGAATGATAGAAGTGTTCAGAAAGCTGCTTAAAATTATTTTAACACCTCTATCATAGGTTATCCTTAGGTCTACTCTACAAGGTACTTGGCATGCAAAGCCAACAAAAAAGTCCACATTTACATTTCTCAAATTTTACTTTCAATAAAAAACCCGACTTTTCAATCTTTTAATGTTGTCCAATTATGGCCGATTGTCATTTTTTACCAAGTAAAATCGGGTTTGATTCAATTTTTTTTTTGACAAATGGCCGATTGTATTATTATTATTATTTTTTTTTTTTTTTTTTTGTGGTGTAGAGTGGCTGTTTTAATACAAGACAAGTAAATGTATGTACAAACCATCCTAAGTAAACTTCACACATTCTTATTCAAATTTTAGACAATAATTTTAATTTTAGAAAAAAAAAACACCCACGTCTAATATACTCCAAAATACCTATCAATTAAAGAAAAACTTAATAATACTCATAAATATTTCATTGATCCACTGTCCTTAACGTCAAATACCTTTGAAGGTCTGTCTACTTGGCTTCATCCTGTATTCCTTTTGTGTGTGTGTTTATGATTTTTTTTCTCTGTTCGCTCTTTTGAAGATATGGATGCATTTCCGTTTGTAATTTGTTTAAGCAAGTGACATTAATTATAATTGTCAGCATCAGTTGGAGCCAACGAAAAAAAAATAAAGGAAGGAAACAACAACAACGACAAAATCAAGAAATAATCAGGACAGTAAAGGCAGTAGCTGGGACCGCATGCACGAAAAATGTAAGATCGTATTACTTTGAGTGTGATTCGAACAAAACTAGTTTTGTGTTTTTTTTTTATTACCTTGCAATACAGGATGAGTGCCACCTATAATTTAAGCTTTCATCTAGTTTTGAAAAACAAAATAAGTTATAAATAATTTCGAAATTGGGGGGATCCTAGCCTGGGAACACGCAACTCATTTAAGATGGTGTTAAAGAATACATTATTTTTAATAAAAAAAATATATATATATTTCATTTTTTGCTAATTGATTCAAGCTGTTATAGGAGATTTTGGCATTCATAAATTTTGAAATTTTGAAAAGGGAGGAATTAAATATTTCCCAAATAGCTGTATAAAGAAATTTTTAATATTATTATTATAATTATTGTTAAAACTATTTTTATTGTTCAGGCACAGTCTATTCTAAAATTTCAAGATCTTGCTGCTAGTATTTCAAAATTTCGACTATTTACTCTACCTTGAAATGCTTGATAAATGAATTTCCTCCAACATGAGTAACAGATCCCGAAATACTAAATAAATCCAATATCTATCCCTTAGAGTAATATACATGTTCCTGTACGCTCTTTAAGCGTTCTCATAGGTATCCCAATCTGAATATTTAAAATCCTAACTTTTTGCAATTTTCATGTGGTAAAATTTGTACTCCATGGTACCTTATTTTTTTCTAACAAAAAAATTTGCAACTGTTAAAAACGCGGTGATCAACAAGAACAATGGTCTACATTTATTCCAAGAATTGTGAACTGTTGTTACCTCCCCAAACATTTGAGGTTATTGTTTGAGTTTCTTTTGAAGAGAATAGCAAAAAAAGATGGACTGTCGGTCAGACAGACAGACAGCCAGCCAGCCAGGCGAACAACGGCGGCAAAGAGAAACTAAAAACAAAGTTAATACACATTTGGCTGCAAAAACAACAAAGACTAAAACTAGATATAACGAAGGAACAGATAGACAGAGAGAGAGAGCAGCAGCGAGCCAGAGGAATTCTCATAAAATTTAACACATGCAAACATACACAGTTAACAATACGAGCGCACACACACACACAATCTCACACATATTCATGTGAAGGCAAAAAGGAAATCATTGAGCAGATGTTCAGCCAAAAACAAACTTCAAAATGAAATGTGCGATCAAAGTAACAAACACAACAACAACACAAACGATGGCAATGACAACGCCAACAAAAACCTACAATGACGATAACGACCAAACATTTACAATGCACACACACACAATCACACTGCGGCATACATGTACGCATTCCATTTGTTGCTTGAAATGGAAAACGGAAAGAATACATATTTGGTATGTCAGTCAGTATAGCAGCAGCAACAACAATAACAACGACTGTAGTATTTCAGATACACAATTCCACCAACAACTACAACATACAGATGCAAACGTCGTTGTTGTTGTTGTATCTTTGAAGTGATATTAAAAACAGGAGACAGCTGGTAGTCCAAATGGACTTAAGACCGGGCAAATAACCTAAACAGCGAGAAAAGCAGCAGCAGCAACAACAAAAAGGCAATGTCAATATCATTTTTTCTACAAAACAAAAGCAAAAACGCGGCGGCGAAGAGTCACCAAAAAGCAAC